TGTGACATGTGGGACATGCGGGGCCTGTGAGACTTGCGACAGCTGCAGGACTTGGGGGACTGGTGGGACTGGTGGGACTGGTGGGACCCGTGGGAACTGCGGGGCCAGTGGGATCTGCGAGACCTGCGAAACCTGTGGGGCCTGAGGGACCTGTGAGACTTGTGGGGCCTGTTAGACCTGCGCGACCTGCGAAATCTGCGAAACCTGTGGGACCTGTGGGACCTGTGGGAACTGTGGGACCTGTGGGACCTGTGAGATCTTAGAATTCTGTGGGGCCTGCGACCGCTGAGGCCCAAAATAAGGCCCTGAATTGTGGGACCGCCGGGCATTCAAAAGGGGAACCCCAAATTCAAACGTCCCGGCGTGGCCGGCGTGGCCGTCGGAGGCCCTCAACTAGCCTCCCCGCTTGGAAACGCGACGCGTCTGTTCTGCCGAGACCCGAAGGCGACTCTGATGCCGTCATCGCCGCACCTGCCCTGCATCCGATAATATGTAAACAAACCTAAGAAAGCGCCATGGACGCGGGCCCACGATGGCTCCGAAATGTCTCACGTAGCCCCAAGACGGCCCAATAATGCCCTAAGAGGCCCCCAAGACAACCCACACGACCCTGTGACACGCCCAGTGCGGCCTGAGAGTAACCCGTGGGAGACCCAAGAGAGGCAAAAACAACGGACGCAGAATGAGGCGGAAGAATCAGGGGACTCACAACGGGGGGACGGAGGTGGGGATGATGATGAATTCGACGGGGTACGACCCAAAACAGCGCGGATAAGCGTGTCACATGTTGCGGCCATTGGAAGGGTATGGGCGATGGTCTGTCGCGTGGTACGGCTTTTTTCTGGCGGTACTCAAAACTCGCCGCGCCGAAAAATGCGCAATCGCAGTGCGCGGGACTTGCCGCGACCAAATCGAGATAATGCAGACGCCCGATTTTCTACGCGCAACCGCAATGCGTATGATTTGCCAACGAAGTCACGTCCTCCACGAGCCGACGGGGCTCTCCACTTGGAGACGCGCGCAGTGGAAGAAACAACACAAACAATGCGAAAAAGAGTGAGGGGGGAAGGCAAGTCAAAATGTCGGGCGAGAGGCGAACCACGAATGATCACCACCCAAAAAAAAGGTGAACAGCGCAAGCGCCGAACAACAAAAAAGGAAAGACATTACATTGTTTGGCGCGCCGCCAAGAACGGGAAAGGGGGCGGGGGGCCAGCGAGCCCAGAAGAGACAAATTTGGCGGCATGCCAGACGCTTCAGGAGGCCTCGCCACGCGGAGGCGCTCTGCCCGCATGAACGAGCGCATCGTCGCCCAAAATCGGCGCAACATCGCTGCGCAGTGGCAATCCGCCCATACAAAAGAACGGGGACAGCGCAAGCGCCGAACAAAAATTAGCCTGACGAAAGACCCAACCATACGTAGTAGTGAATACCGCAATTGTGGATATATTCTTCGGTGGCGCCCCCGGGCCACGAAACGAGTGAGGGGTGTGCCGAAATGGGGGGGTGGAACCGCATGCGAGCGCAGCCACTGGGGCGCTCGGTGGAGCTCCCTATGGAGCCACGAAACGTGTGAGGGGTGTGCCAGAATGGGGGGTGGAACCGCATGCGGGCGCAGCCACTGGGGCCTTCGGTGGAGCTCCCTATGGGGCCACGAAACGTGTGAGGGGTATGCCAGAATGGGGGGTGGAACCGCATGCGGGCGCAGCCACTGGGGCCTTCGGTGGAGCTCCCTATGGGGCCACGAAACGTGTGAGGGGTGTGCCAGAATGGGGGGGTGGAACCGCATGCGGGCGCAGCCACTGGGGCCTTCGGTGGAGCTCCCTATGGGGCCACGAAACGTGTGAGGGGTGTGCCAGAATGGGGGGTGGAACCGCATGCGGGCGCAGCCACTGGGGCCTTCGGTGGAGCTCCCTATGGGGCCACGAAACGTGTGAGGGGTGTGCCAGAATGGGGGGTGGAACCGCATGCGGGCGCAGCCACTGGGGCCTTCGGTGGAGCTCCCTATGGGGCCACGAAACGTGTGAGGGGTGTGCCAGAATGGGGGGTGGAACCGCATGCGGGCGCAGCCACTGGGGCCTTCGGTGGAGCTCCCTATGGGGCCACGAAACGTGTGAGGGGTGTGCCAGAATGGGGGGTGGAACCGCATGCGGGCGCAGCCACTGGGGCCTTCGGTGGAGCTCCCTATGGGGCCACGAAACGTGTGAGGGGTGTGCCAGAATGGGGGGTGGAACCGCATGCGGGCGCAGCCACTGGGGCCTTCGGTGGAGCTCCCTATGGGGCCACGAAACGTGTGAGGGGTGTGCCAGAATGGGGGGTGGAACCGCATGCGGGCGCAGCCACTGGGGCCTTCGGTGGAGCTCCCTATGGGGCCACGAAACGTGTGAGGGGTGTGCCAGAATGGGGGGTGGAACCGCATGCGGGCGCAGCCACTGGGGCCTTCGGTGGAGCTCCCTATGGGGCCACGAAACGTGTGAGGGGTGTGCCAGAATGGGGGGTGGAACCGCATGCGGGCGCAGCCACTGGGGCCTTCGGTGGAGCTCCCTATGGGGCCACGAAACGTGTGAGGGGTGTGCCAGAATGGGGGGTGGAACCGCATGCGGGCGCAGCCACTGGGGCCTTCGGTGGAGCTCCCTATGGGGCCACGAAACGTGTGAGGGGTGTGCCAGAATGGGGGGTGGAACCGCATGCGGGCGCAGCCACTGGGGCCTTCGGTGGAGCTCCCTATGGGGCCACGAAACGTGTGAGGGGTGTGCCAGAATGGGGGGTGGAACCGCATGCGGGCGCAGCCACTGGGGCCTTCGGTGGAGCTCCCTATGGGGCCACGAAACGTGTGAGGGGTGTGCCAGTGTGGGTGGAACCGCATGCGGGCGCAGCCACTGGGGCCTTCGGTGGAGCTCCCTATGGGGCCACGAAACGTGTGAGGGGTGTGCCAGAATGGGGGAGGAACCGCATGCGGGCGCAGCCACTGGGGCCTTCGGTGGAGCTCCCTATGGGGCCACGAAGCGTGTGAGGGGTGTGCCAGAAGGGAGGGGGAGGAGGGAGGAGGAAGGAGAGGAGGAGGAAGGAGGAAGGAGGAAGGAGGAACGCGGGGACTGTCTCTTCAAAACGAGGACCCAACAACACAGGTTGGTTGGGAAAAAAGGAAAGACATTACATTGTTTGGCGCGCCGCCAAGAACGGGAAAGGGGGCGGGGGGTCAGCGAGCCCAGAAGAGACAAATTTGGCGGCATGCCAGACGTTTCAGGAGGCCTCGCCACGCGGAGGCGCTCTGCCCGCATGAACGAGCGCATCGTCGCCCAAAATCGGCGCAACATCGCTGCGCAGTGGCAATCCGCCCATACAAAACACGCGCAGCTAACAAGCGAAAAGTGCGTTATGCGCCGCCTTAAACATAATGATGAAACGCTGCAACGATCACGATTTTACTACTGCGACCTCACCTGATCAGCGCGCGCGCGCGTCGGGGCAAACGGGCGCCTCCGCGAATGATCGCCACTCGGCATCGCGAAAACACATTCAAGGGAATCTCCGCGGGAAAAGCGCTACAAGTGGCCAGGCTGCAACCTCGCGAGAAAACACTGCGCTGAACCAGAAACAATTGCCAACGACAACCGTAACGCAGGAATAACCGACCAAACAACAAATTTTAAGAAACGTCCAGAGCTTCCAATTGCGATGGTTTCTTGCGCGGCCATTGCGTGTGCCGATGGTGCCGTCACTTTCGGAACAAGCTGACGATGCGGATGCATCGGATACACTCTCCGCTTGGTGGAGACAACGGCTTCGGTACTCTTGCTGCGTCGCCGGCCCGCGTCAATGCCACGCGTGCTGGGCCATCGGTCAACATTACGAGACATTATCTGCAAAGGAATCCGCCGACCCCTTGGGGATCATCGGCGTGTGAGATGCTTCCCCCTCCCCAAACCCCTCCCCCGGGAGCCCGGTCCGGTCGATTTGGAGGGGGGGGGGGGGGTCCGGGACGAGCGGTTCACGGGGCTTTTCCTGGCCCAAGGGTCCGGGACGAGCGCTCCACGGGGCTTTTCCTGGCCCAAGAGGGCTTCAAGACGGGCCACGAAGCCCCCAAGAGGCCTCCAAGACGGCCCACGAAGGCTCCGAGAAGCCAAACGACCGCTCCAAGACGCCCACGATGGCCCCAAGACGGGCCAAGAGGTCTCCAAGACGGCCCCTGAGGTCCCAAATGAGCCTCCCAAGAGGGCCCAAAGAGTCAAAAATTGCTGATTTTCCAGAGTGTTTTTCGATGTTTTTTGCTTTTCCGCCTTTCCGGCTTCCCGACGCTCCAAGACGGGCAAAGAGGCCCCAAAGATAGCCCCAAGATGGCCCAAGAGGCCCCCAAGACGGCCTCCAGACGGCCCAAGACGGCCCCAACACGGCCCAAGAGGTCCCCAAGACGGCCCAAGAGGGCTCCAAGACGGCACCACGAGGGGCCCAAGAGGGCGACCAAACATGTTGAAACTCTAGCTTTCTGCCCCCAGGAGCCCCAGGGGGCCCCAAGAGTGCCCCAAGAGGCCCCCAGAGGCCCTCACGAGGCCGCCCAGACGCCCCAAGGAACCCCCAAGAAGCACCCCAGAGGCTCCGAAACGGCCCCCGAGTGGCTCCAAAACTCGCAGTGTCGCTGTCCGCTCGGACCTCCCCGCGGAACTGCCCGAGACCCTCTGGCGGTGGCGGCGAACAGACACCAAACAAATATCACTCGCCTTTTCACCCCTTCGCAGCTTCTACTACCCCCAGATTGGCATAAACAAGGGGTCGGCGGTGTGGCGTAAGCCTAAGAATTCACAACGAGGGTTCTGCGACGCCCGATGGGACAAAGGGAGCGCAATGTGTCACGGATGGGGATGATGAGGAGGAGGAGGAGGAGGAGGAGGAGGAGGAGGAGGAGGAGGAGGAGGACGGGGGAGGGGAGAGAGGAGGACAGCCACAAGGACGGGTAGGGAAGGAGGGCCGCGAACGCGGCGACTCGGGGCGGCACACGTGTCCTCGGCTGCCTCCAGCTCGGCCCGGAGCGTGGCGGCCGCCGCGAGCTCCTTTTCGAGCGCCTGGCCCGAGAGGGGGGATCCTGGCTCCTCTTCCCCCGCTCCTCCTTCCCACTACCCTGCCTGCCCTCCCGCCAACATCCACCTCCTCCTCCTCCTCCTCCTCCTCCTCCTCCTTTCCTTGTCCACTTTCTCTCTCTCTCTCTCTTTTTATCCTGCTTCTCGTTCCTCCTCCTCCTCCTCCTCCTCCTCCTCCTCCGCCTCCATCCGTCCATATCCATCCCCTCTTGCTCCCCGTTCCCTCCCTCCTTTCCCCCCCTCCCTCCCTCCCCCTCATCCTCCCACTCCGCCACCCCTCCTCCTCCTCCGCCCACCTCTTCATCCTCCCTCCCTCCCCCAACCTGGTGATGATGTCTCCCTCTCCCTCTTCCTCCCTCCCCCCTCCATTTGCCCCCAACCTTCCTCGTCCCCATCCCTCCTCCTCCTGCTCCTGCTCCTGCTCCTCCCCTCCTCTCCTCCCCCCCTCCCATACGCCCCTCCTCAAGCCCCTCCTCCTCTTCCTCCGCTTCCTCCTCTTCCTCTTCCTCCTCCTCCTGCTTCTCCTCCTTCTTCTCCTCCTTCTTCTCCTCCTGCTTCTCCTCCTCCTCCCCTCTTCCTCCTCCTCATCCTCCTCCTCTTCCTTCCTCTTTCCCCTCATCCGTCCTCCTCCCTCCCCCCACGTCCCCCCTTCACCATCCGTGGCCATCCCGTTTCTCACTGCTCCTCTTCTCCGCCCCCCGAACACCTAGACGGGTTCCCGCAGACAGGTGTGTTTCCCCACCCGACATTGGGGTCGTTAGACTTTAAGAACAGGCCTCCCAACCCGCCCGCCTTGCATACCGCGGCCGCCAGATCCCCAAGCTCCCGATAATCCCTGGTGGTACCACCCCCACCGCCCTGCATACCGCGGCCGCCACATCCCCGGACTCCCGATAATCCCTGGTGGTCCCGGCCCCCCCCGTCCTGCGTACTGCGGCCGCCAGGTCCAAGCTCCCGATAATCCCTGCTGGTCCCGCCCCCCCGCACCGACTCGCCCACTCTGCAAACTGCGGGCACGAAATCCCCAAGCCTCCGATATTCCCTGAAGGTCCCGCCCCCCGCGCCGACTCGCCCACTCTGCATGCCGCGCCGCCAGATCCCCTGCCCCCCCGCAGAACAAAGTAAAACACGAGACCGCGGAACATACCATATCCGAGCATACCATACTAGACCATGGCATACCATCTCATAACATCACACACCATGGCATAGTCGTGTATGCCATACCCCCGCATCGCAACATATCGCATCCCGTAACACGACAAGTCAAACAACTCATACCAACTCAACGCACTCAAATCACGTTGCACCGGCTATCATAATACAGCACATCATAACAAAGCATGTCATGACATTTCCGAACATACATCACATAAACTAAAATGGTATAACATGCCAAACCATACCATAGCATCAACGACCATACAATCGCACAACACCATAGCATGGTACAGCATCTTACCATATACCATGCCACCCCATGGCGGCACATCACATGACAGGGCGCGACATAATGTACTATACCGTCATAATAAAACATCACATACAATGGCACCATAAGCTATGACAGACTTGGTCGCGCAGAAACTGAAATAACACCGCGCCTCACACCACAACATAATATATCATATATGGCACAGAGCACCTCGCAACACACCAGAATGAACGAGCGCACGCTCGGGACCAAAAACCGAAAATGTCGGTGGGGATCGTTCGAAACAAAATATGTCTCTGTTTCCCTGGAGCTCCGCGATCGGACACGCACCCCTCTACAACACCTGCTGCGTTGCAATGCCCTTGCTGGCCGTCACGCAACACGCTTCACAACTCTTGATGAGCTCAACACTTCAGCGTTTTTTGACGTTCTGGGCCGCGGCGGAGATCTGATCGGGGTTGCACGCGTTGGGGGTAGGTCCCCCGGTCTGCTCAAAATGCGCCTCGGATTTGTCTTGGGGGCGTTTTTGTTCCGCAATGGTTCTTCCGTGCTGTCGCGGGCGCTTCTCCTGCGGGAGTGGGCAAGAGCCTCTGCCGAACGCGTAGCGACGCCAGTTCTTGGAGGAACTCGCGCTGGGTGCTCGGCTATGGGACCTCTGGCGGTCACCGCCTCCAGCCGCCTTGCCGCCTCCGCGGTCACGGCTCCTGCCGCGACCCTTGACTTCCCCCTCTCCCCTGGGCTTGCGCTTCTCCTCCTGCTGGCCCTTGCCCGTGCCGCTATCTTCGCCGCCCGGGCCAGCGTTGGACGGGGCCGGCGAGGCCAGCGCCGGAGCGCCAGACTTGGGGCGCGCGCGTGGACGCTGCGCGCGCGGCGGCGCGCCCCCAAGGCGCACCTGTTGCACGCTGCCGACTTTTTGAGGCGGCCGTCCTTCATGAAAAAGGAATTTTTGCCTCCGCCATCTCCGCTGACGCCCGCGCCCCCGCCGCCGCCGCCCGCGCCTCCCGCGGAGAGGCCACGGGCGTTGAGTTGCTGTCGTTGCGCGGCGCAATTCCGAAAGCCTCGGTCGGTCTCAGTGCGCCGGCTGATCTGCTCCAGCAATCATTCGCACGACTTCATTCATGTGCCGCGCTGGCGATTGCCGCGGTCTCCCGCGGCAAAAGTCACGGCCGCGCGCGGGCACAGTCCATCGCCCAATAGAAATGTTCATGGACTGATGGGCGGGCGGTTGTGTGAGGCTTGCCCATCTCGCTCGTTATCTTCGCCCACTCGTCATAGTATTGATAAAGGTCAGCACCCGCGTCCTTACCCGAGCCGCGGGCGTGCGTGTCCATCGAGGCCTGGCGAGTGCGCGCCTGGCGGCGATCCTCACGGGCGGCCATTTGCACGGCGATAGTCCGCAGCGGCACGACTCTTCATCATCTGTTCTCTGAGCATAGCGGCGTCGAAGCGATCGATCTCGCTGGCGGAGTGACGGATCGGAGCTGGCGACCTTCGATCCTTCGAGGTCCGGTTGGCTTCACTCAGAGTTTGCGAGCGAGTCTAGGATCCAGCCAGTAGCTTCCTGACAACTGGGCAAACATGGCGCGACGTGGCGGACCGCGCCCCTGCTCCATTATTCAGGGCCGGCTGCGTCGCGGACATGTTCGATGTTCACATTCTCCATCTTGCCAGCGTCGTTGCAATGAGCGCTAATGCCTGGCGCCCCGTCGGGGGGCGCGCCGCCTCCGTCTTTGCCGCTGAGCGGGCCATCTGGCGGCCCATCGCACGGGCCGCGCCGACGGTCACCCTCTTCGCCATCTTCATCGGACGGCTCGTCTTCGTCGTCCTCCGAATCAGGGTCGTCGGAATCCTCGCCCCAGTCATCATTCTGATCATCGACCGTCGCCAGCTGGCTTCGAGGGGTCAGGTTGATTGTAGCCAGGAAAGGAGGTGGCGGGGGCCGCCAGAGCTCGCTCCGCTCCCTTCACTGTCTTCGGGCGGCGCTCTGCCTCTTCCCTGGCTTTCTCCTCTTTCTCTTGGACCTGATTTTCGGCGGCGGCGGCAGCCTCCGCGCGCTTCTCGGCGCGCAACTCGTGCCTCCAGGCGTCATGTTCGGCCTTCTCGGCCTTTGCTTCGACGTGGCCGTCGACGCTCCGCATTGCCCCCGTGGGCATGTCTGAAAACCTCTGATGTTCTTCGGTTGAGCTTCTCGCGCCACCCACGTCTCCCCTCTATGGATTGTGTTGTTCTCCCTCGGTGTGCCGGGCTGCGATGGTCACCTCGCCATTCGCCTGCTGTTCAAGTCGCAGGCCCCTCTTCCGCGCGTTGCAAACCTCAGCACCAGCGCGTGCGCAGTTCTCCATCGCTGCTAGGGCAATGGCCTGCGCCTGATGACGAGAATTGCTAACCTCGCCCTGCGCTTGCCGCGTCGCCTCTCCCCTCTCAGCCGACCCTCTACGCGCGACGGCCTCGGCGGTCATTCGACCGGCCTGAACCCGTCGAACAGCCGCCCGTGCATCCGCCGCAATGAGAACGTTGCGCGCCTCAGCCGCTTAGAGCTCCTCCGCGACACTTGACGCGGTCGCCTGCCCGACCACTCTAGCGCCCCGGACGACGCGCCTGGCCTCAGCGATGCTCTTCCCGAGGTCTTGGGCGCGCTTCTCTGGCTACCGGTGCCTCGGCCTTGTCGGCTAGTTCGTGGAACTCATGCGACGTGCGCAGCACCTGCTCTGAGGCGGCAGCCTGCTGCCTTTCCTCGGCCTGCTCCACTGTGCGTATAAATGGCGATGCGGTTGAACTTCGGTTCTCGCGATCTGCCCCCTCGTTCGCGCCATCTCCCAATCCCTTTCTTCGGTCGCCGCCCCCCGCCTCTTCTCTTCGGCCTGCTACCATTCGAAGCCACGCATTGCCATACAATTGTGAGAAAAAAAAAAGGGGAGGACAGTCCGGTCAGAGAAATCAACTTGCACAAGTTGCAAATTACCGGGCATTCGCGACAGACTGCCTGCTTTGCGCTGTCCTCGGTTTCCCGGTCGGGCAACGGAACTCGGGAAATGTCGCGCACTTGAGGCCTCTGTTGGCGCATGATGTTTTATTCTTGTTTTCATTATTTGGGGTAGCGGCTGGTGCCGGGGGGAGGGGGGCGGCGGGCAACGGTGACGGCGGCCGCGGCGTGCGCCCGCCAGGGTACGTCCGCGCCATCGGCGCATCCCTGCGCGCGCTGTAATCCCTGCGAGCGCGACAGTGCTACATGCATTGGTGCAAAGCAACGCCGCCTGAGTGCACCACGATATTTCGGTGCAGCAGCTGCGTGCGCAACGCCACCGCGTCGCCCATGTGCGCCGCAACGTCTGCGCATGGTGCAGCAACCGTGTGCGCAACAGTCCTTGTGTCCAAAGCGTTGCCTGCGTGTGCCAGAGCGCACGTGCACACCGCGGCGCCTGCGTGCGCCGCAGCAACCATGTGCACCGCGGCACCTGCACGCCAATGCCTTCGTGCACCGCAACACCTGTCTACAACAATACGTGCCAACGGGCGCATCAATAGCTTGCGAAGCCTGTTTTGCGGGGCCCGCCACAGACCGCGGAAACCCTCGCCACGTCGCCCGTGTACGCCGCAGCGCGTGGAGAGTAGCATCGATGACACGCAAGCTGCCGGGCTGGCCCTCTGAAGTTTTGGCAAAACCATCCGTAGCATGCTTCGAACGAGACGGCCAAGAGGAGATGGACAAAAGCGGGAGGACGGGGGGAACTCCGGCGAGAGGTGCGGAAGGAGGGAAGGGAGAGGAGGAGGTTGGAAGGAGGTGGGAGTTTTTGTTTTTGGATGGCACGTGAAAAGATAGGAGCGAACAGCCACATCGTACCTCGGCGCGCCCGCGCGCAACGAACATGTCACAAAATTCGGCCCACGTGTGCAAGCGAAAGCCCACGAGGAGGACGGGGAGGAGCGAGGGGGAGGACGAGTCGGAGGGGAAAAAGGCGCTGCGCGGATAATCCCATATGGCCCAAATGGCCACTAATATAATCCCAATAGCGCACAGCGCAATCCAGAGGGGAAGAGGAAGTAGAGGAGAAGGAGGAGGAGGAGGGGCAGAGGACGACGAACAACGGGGAGGATATTAGTAGGCGATGGAGCAGGCGGGGGGAGGTAGGATTATGTTATGCCATAAGTCAAGTGCACTCATGGCATCGTTCGACGTCGCCTCGCTTTCGTCAGTGCCAATTGTAACAGACGCGGGATAACCGTTGCTCCACCCAGAGATGGCTGCGAAATCCCTTGGCAGCTTTGCTTCCAGAGTTCCACCAGTAGGAAGAGCAGGGGAAGAGAACATAAGGATGCAAACGTGAACCACACTAGCCGGAGCACTGCAAAGCCTGCAGGCGCCAGAACAGGCAGGCGAACACCGAAACATGCCTGTTAGCACCACGCACTGCCTGTGAATTCGGCGCCGCAACAGGCGAAGAACCTGCGAACGCCACAACACGTTTGTGAACACCACACTCTGTCAGCACCAAGATACGCCTGTGAAAACAGCGCCATACTTGCTGAGAGAAGGGGGGTCCGCCCTCCAACCCCGAAACACGTACGAGCGTTAGCGTTACCCGGGGGGGTTGGGCCCGGATAGCAAGCGTTACCCGCCAGAGGAAGAACAACGCTATCCATGGTTCGTTGATGCGAGAACTCGATGCAATGGAGCGGGCCGTGCGAGCGGAAGACGACGCGCCAGACGGGGCCCTGAAGGCTCTACGGCGGTCGGGTCCCGTGCCCCTGGCTCGCGGGGAGCAGGTGCGGGGGCGGAGCTGGGGATCTTCGTGGCACTTCGGTTCAAAATTTCTGCGCCGGGATCTTTTGCGGACTGGCCGGAAGGGGAGGTGACCAAAGGGCACAGCCCCTGGCCCCCCCCCGGGTCGAGCACTTGATGATCCCCTGGTATACCCTCCGTGTTGGTTCGCTTCACGAGCGAAAATTTGACGGACAGGCTGATGGCCTCCCGGGTTTGCTTCGCGGCGGGTGCTCTCGACCCGGCTGCCTCTTCGGCGATATGCCGGCCAGCTGCAGGCAGGCCTGCCATCACCGCTGCCATTTCGCCTTGCAGATCATCCATAGCTTCGACGACACAGACGTCGAACATTGCTGGCGCCGGCAATGGCTGCTGAGCCAATTTGGGAGACGGCCCGATTTCACAAACTTCGGAACCACCCCCCGAATGAGACTCAGCAGTCGTTTCCCGGTTCAAACGGGGAGTCGACTTGACGGACCCATTTTACGACGAGGACGAAGAGTCGGAAAAGATCACGTAAGCTTGGATTGCTTATCCAGGTTGCCAGTTCCGTACCATTCGACGTCCGCATCCGCTTCTGCGTCCGTTCGCGGGGTGTCCCGACGACCGGCGCTTTCGTCCGCCAGTAAATCTCCCGATGACAGCGAGATACTCACGCTGAGATTCTGACGAGAACGCGAGCAGGAGCCCCTGATACTACAGTAGGTCTATGTGTGCTAATCTGCGCTCAACCCTGGAGGAGGGGAGGGCGCACTTCTTTGACACCTCGAACAAATAGTTGCGAACGTTACTATTCATATTATTGTCATCGCTGCCGGCACCAACCCATGTCAAAGGAAGCGGCAGCGGCAGCGGCAGGGCACAGGAGGGGAACTAGCGAATGAGCGATACCCTGGGAGGCAGCCGGTCGATGGCGCGCTGGAACCGGGATGCCGTGCGGCGTCCACTGCGAAAATATCGAAACCGTCGGACGTCCCTTGGACGCGCAAGCGGCGGCGATAAACCTGGTCCTGCAGCTTGGTCATCACCATCTCTGGCTGCCTCATTGCGAGGAGACGGGATGCAGCTCGGCGAGCCGCCCTGATCTGCATGGCGCGTCTCTCTCAGGACCCGCCTCCTCCATGCCAATCCTTCTCCTCCTCCCTCTTGCCCCCTCCTCCTCTCAGGGACATCAGCAGTACACTGCGATACTCCTCCTCCTCCTCCTCCTCCTCCTCCTCCTCCTCCTCCTCCTCCTACGCTCCTCCTCCTCCTCCTCCTCCTCCTCCTCCTCCTCCTCCTCCTCCTCCCACGAACGACGGTCTATCGATCTTGATACCACGGACTCCTCCTCCTCCTCCTCCTCCTCAACGTCAACATCCTCTTCCTCCTCCTCCTCCTCCTCTAATTTCTCCTCCTCCTCCTCCTCCTCCTCCTCCACCCTCCTCCGCTTCATCCTCCTCGGCAAACCGCCTCGACCTGCCGGTCCACCTCCTCCTTCTCCTGCTGGGCCAAGGCCACCTTCGGCGGGCGGGGGCGCACGGCGAGGGAGCTCTTGCGCTGGGCAGCGGTGCGCGGGCGGGCGTCAGCGGAAGAGGGGGAAGGTGAGGATGGGGGTGCAGATGGGGAATGATGAGGAGGATGATGAGGACGAGGAGGAGGAGAAAGATAAGAAGAGGAGGAGGAGGAAGAAGAGGAGGAGGAAGAGGAGGAGGGGGAGGACAAATAAGAGGGAGGAGGAGGAGAAAGATAAATAAGCGGAGGAGGAGGAAGAGGAGGAGGGGGAGGAGGACGAATAAGAGGAGGAGGAGGAGGAGGAGGAGGAGGAGGAGGATGTTGACGTTGCGGCCGTTCGGGTCAAAATCTGGCCGACGCGCAGAAAACGAGGGGGCGGGGAATGGGCCCGGGAGGATGAGGAGGAGGAACAGGAAGAGGAGGAGGAAGAGGAGGGGGAGGAAGACCAGCGTAAACCCAAGAATCACCAACATGTTAGAATAAACCCTCCCCCAAAAATCCCTCTTGAAAAGGCCCCTACAGAAAGACCTGCCTCGTTGAAGACAACCGTGTGAAGACCCCGAAGCATGCCAAAACATTATTCCCGGCATTCCAACACGGATGAACCTGACTGTTGCGTTTTGACGATCCTGAATCGTGCCATAACGCCAGTCCTGTTCCTGGGACCTCAACTCCGCGAATCATAATAACTGTTGCGCCCTCATAATCGTGAACCCTTTTCAAAACACAATATCTGGTACGTCAATCATGGGAGATCAGTGATGCTCTTGCAATTTTCACAAAAGTACGCACGGCGCTACAACGACCACCACAATTGGAAACTTAACCGCCCTCAATCCGTGACACTTTTGCAACACTTGAAAACATCTGTGACACTTTTGCACATGTTGAAAACAAATGTGCACGGCGCTAAGGCGATAACCACATGTTGAAAACGACCCGCCCTCAATCCGCAAAGCTCTTGCAACTTGTTTAACAAATTTGCGCGGCGCTAAACCGAAAACTGCATGTTGAAAACGGCCCGCCGTCAATTCGTAAAGCTCTAGCAGTTGTCGAACACAAATATGTGCGGCGCTGAGGCGAGAACCACATTTTGAAAACGACCCGCCTTCAATCCGTGTGACTCATGAAAACTTTGCAAACGAATGTGCGCGGCGCTAAAGCGAGAGCCACGTTTTGAAAACGACCCGCCCTCCATCTGGGAAGCTGTTGCCTATGTTTGAGTTTCAAAGTTCATAAACGGTGAGGAAATCTCGGGCGAAGTGCCCAGCCCGCCCTACAAACTGGCCTCGGGGTGATACAGGGAGAAGTTATCGATGAGGAAAAGGAACGGCGGAGGAGGAGGCGGAGGAGGAGGCGGAGGAGGAGGATGAGGGGCAGGAGGAAAAGGAGGAGGAGGGGGAGGAGCCCTTTCGACCCTTTCGTGTCGCCAGCGTCGTGGCGGCCGCCGCGCGGGCGCGCGCGGCGGCGTGGCGGCGCCCGCCTCAGCTGCGGCACCGCAGCTGCGCTCCGCAGCCCTCCTCCTCTGGCGGCCGCAGCTGTGGCACCGCCGTCCTCCTCTGGCGGCCGCAGCCTGCCTCCTCTGCGGCACCGCCGTCCTCCTCTGGCGGCACCGCAGCTGCGCGGGGCGGCGGGGCGGCCGCAGCACGGGCTTCACGGCCTGAACCACACCCTGGATCAGCGCGAGGTGCATGCCCCGCAAGACCTGCAGGCAGTCCAGCTGCCGCTTCGCCGCGTGCCTCGCACCGCACCGCCGTCAGGCCACCGCCGCCAGCTGGCTGGATCCCCTCGCCTCCGCCTCGCGTGTCCGACTGACGCGAGGCACGCGCAGGTCGCCTCTCCCGCTGCTCGCCACCCTCCAGCAGGCGCCTCAGCTCTGCGAGAGGCAGAGGGGCCTCTCGCGCGGCTCTCCTTTGCCGAGGCCTCTCGCCTCGCTGCACAGCTGCCTTCTCCCTCTCGGCCTCCAGCATGGCCCTCGCCCTCGCTGCCTCTGCCTCAGCGACGTCGAGGTCCTCCGCCTGCGTGGCGTACTGCACGGTGTCGTGCTGGGGCTGCACGCTGGTGTTGGCCAGCCTCGCTGCGGTCTGCAGTAGTCGCTGCGCCTCCTGCTGCTGCTCCTCATCGGTGCGTGCCCTCCTCACCTGCTCGTCCGATCGTGCCAACGCTGGATCCGCGGGCAGCTCGGGGAACGCCGCTGGCGGCTCGAGGAGCACCGCCTCTGGATTTGCGTTCTGACCCTGAGCGAAGCCCTGGCCATGGGACGGGCTGCAGTGGCGACGAGCACCAGCGGCCGGCTCGAGGAGCACCGACATGGATTTAGCGCTCTGACACCTCAGCTCGCCGTCCGCGCAGATCACGACTGGTGGCTGCGTCTCTGGCGGCGGTGAGCCCGCTGACGGCTCGAGGAGCACCGCCGCTGGACTTGCGATCTGACCCCTCAGCTCGCCGTCCGCGTAGGTCTCGTGTGGCGTTGCCCGCTGTCCTGCTCCGCCCTCCTTGGCGGCCTGCCTCAGCCAGCCCTCGAGCCTGTAGTGTCCACTGCTGCAGGCTGTGTGACCGCAGCAGGGCTCCTGCAGCTTCGCGGCGATCAGCTCCGTCGTCGCTCCTCCGCACCGCTCGCAGAACCAGCGGTCTTGGTCGAGCAACCTCCTCAGCTGGTGTGTCGGGTGCGACTCCACTCCGTACCTCGTGATGGTGATGGCTCTCAGCGGAGGTGGCCCCCCGCACGGCTTCTCCATCCAGTCGCGGATGGTCGCTGTCGCCGTGCTGCAGCTGACCGCCTCCCTGCAATGCTGACACCTCCATCCTGTGCCTCGCTTGTCACGCTCCAGGATGTGCGACGTCGGTGGTCTCCTGGTCGCCTCGCCGCCGAGCAGGTCGCGCTTCAAGAGGCGGTCCTGACGCCTCTGCTGCGCGAGCCTCTTTCTTGCCGTTCTCATTTCCTTGTCGTCGGGCGGCCTTCTGGCGAGCACTGCAGCGGTGGTGGCCGCGATGCGCTCTCTCACCAAATGGGCCGTGGCGCGCACCCACTCGTAGCAGCTCATCTCCGAGTCGCTGATCGCGTGCGTCGCAGCTCCTGCCTCTGCGTACTCGTCAGCTGCCTTGTTACCCGCCCAGACTCGCCTCGGCACGCCCTTCGCCATCGCCTCGTGCTCCGTCATGTGGCTGTTCAGGTGCTTCATGGTGATGTCGCTCCTGTCTCCTCCTCGCTCTCTAATCGCCTCACCGACCTGGAACCACAGGTCGCCGTTGCTGCGCCCTTGGCCCTGGGTCTTCTCCCTTTGCGCAGCCCAGCCCGTGCACGTGACCTCGCTGTCCGTCCAGAAGGTGACTCTGCCCTCGGTCGCGCGCAGGAAGCTCAGGAAGCTGTAGAGCTCGGCGCGGTTGTTGGACTGCCGAGCTCCTGGGAGAGGCCCAAAGCGTGCGCCGATCTGCTCGAACTCGTCGCCGTCGCCCAGCAGCACCCAGCCCCAGCCGCACCTGCAGTATCTCTCGTCCGCGCTGTACTCGCCTCCTGAGCCGTCCCCGCATGCCGTGAGCTCTCGCCCCTCGTCAGCGCGGAGGCGGCGCTCGGAGTTGCAGGCGCCGACGAGGTGCTCTGCGGGCAGGGTGTCGCATCTCGGCGGCACGGTCCAGCTCTTGGGGGTGATGCCCCGAAGCCAGAACGCGGGGTTGGTCTCGCAACCCTCGAGCGCCCTCCTGGTAAGGCCGCTGCTGCGCCTCACTGCCTCGCTGTCCTCCCTAGCTGTGCAGGCGCCCCAGATGCGGTGCACGTCATCCTCGGCCTCTCCGCACTCGCATCTCGCCTCGTCGCCGCCGAAGGTGTCGTGCTTGCGGCGATGCGTCCAGGTGCCTGCGCAAGCCGCGGTTAGGAGCGCGCCGTAGTAGCCGTAGCGCTCCTTCTTGGCCAGCATCCTGAGGTGGTGCTTCAGGTCCTTGACGTCCGCTCCTCTCTCCAGGCCAGCGCCGTTGTGGTGCTGCGCGGCCTGCTCCCACAGCTGATCCTGCAGGTCGTCGAGGAACGCCTCAACAATCTCGGTGTAGTCGCCTCCCTGCTCCTCCGTGCCGAACTTCCAGTAGTCGCCGTTCCTGTCGATCCAGGTGTCGGGCCCTCTGGAGTCCCAGCCGACTTCCCAGAGCAGGAGTATCATGCTGGCCAGCGGGCCACGTCGAGCTTGCCACCTCTTGTTGGCTTCCAGTCTCTGCATTCTGAAGTAGATCCTCGGCCAGGCGCGCCTCACCTGGTTGCGGATCTCGGGGTGGCGGGCCCAGACCTCGAACCACGTCTTCAGCTGCGCCCTCACCGCGGTGGCTGCGGGGTCCGTGCCCTCCAGCGCCAGGAAGGTGGTGAGGCAGCGTCCTGGCCACGGCCTCCTCAATGCCTGAGCGTACCTCCTCCTCGCCTTCTGCCTCGCCCATGGCGCCATGCCGTGCACGGTTGCGCCGTACATGTAGGACGCCACGGGCCCCTGGTGGAGAACTCCCCGCCTCTTGGCCAGCACCAGCTTTCTCAGCTTGGTGCCGACCGCTCCGCATCTCCTGAAAGCGCCGCTGGTGCGCTTCCTGTGGGTGGCGCGCCGCAGCGTGCCTCTGGCTCCTCTGTCGATGCCCAGGTCCCTGCCCTCAGTGACTGCCTGAACCTGGAGCCCCTTCTGGCGCAGAGCCCTCTGCACCGCGCGCGTCGTCCTGTAGCTGGTTGCGAAGATCACCGTCTTGTCCGCCAGCGTAAGACCCTGTGCCTCTAGCTCGTCCCTCAGCGCCATGGTGGTGTCCGTCAGCTCCTGCTCGACTGCCTTCGCGCTGCCCACGATGCGCACGCTGATGTCATCAAACCAGGCCCTCGGCATCGGCTTGGGCAGCGCGCGCGACCTCTCGAGCAAGTTGGCCAAGATGACGTACACGACAGTCTTGGCTAAACTGTTGCTGTGCCTCGATCCTGCGAGCAGCGAGCGGTCGGCCCACAGTGGCAGGGAGTAGGCGCCCTTCCAGCGTATGATCCTCGTCGC